CTTTATATCTGAAAGCATGTTTTGTTGTATTATTTACATATATATACATATAGAAAATAAATATTTTAGAAAGAATCAAAGCATTTGGAAAGATTAAGTATGATACACAAGAAATCATTGCAACTGTTCTATATCCTAGTGACACATTTCAATTTGAAAAGTAAAATTCTTTGATAAGTATGTAATTCAAGATTTTTTTACTTGTACTAAAAATAGAAAACATTTTCAAAGAAATGACCTGATATTATAAATTCTTTAGAAGTAATATACTATTAATAGTTTTACATACACTATTACAATATTACTGTAATCAATGACACTTTTACTTTCAAGTTCAATAAAGTGTATATATACTTTTTTATTTATGTATATAATAATTTTGAGAGATGAAATTATATTTCCATATTCTATAATTTTAATTGAAAAAATTAACAAGGTTTTTCATACAGTTCCCTTTAAAATAAATGAACAAAATTTCATTTCTTAAAATCATCTGATTATATAAATAAGAAAATATAATAATGGTTTGTTGAAATTGAAAATAGAAGTATTATAACCGAAATATCATTAATAAAAGATCATGATACTGATAGCCTTTCCAAGTATTACTACAAACATAATAGAATAATAGAATTTTTTTACTTTAAATACTACAATTGTGCAAATTGCATAGGAATGACACTATTTCTACTTTATTAGAATAATAAAAATATGTAAGGTACATACATTCTTTGCAGCAATTATAATAGATGAATATTTATAACTTAAAAATTGTTGAACAATCGTTATAATCATTCACGTAATTAAGATTTACACATGTGGTCATTATCACTTATAATTTCATGATGTACTTTTTTTTTTACTGATAATTCTTTTTATATGTTTGGAAAATTCATCTTACTGCAAAGAAAATGCACATATTTAGCATACATTTAAATAATGTATCCATTACTTTTTCATTCTATAAGTTTGATAAATGTTCTAGAAATTCATTTGCAAATATATTTAAAACATTTGTTTAATGTTAGGGAATAGTAAGGCTTATTTTAGAAACATTGTTCATATTTTAATTTACTCACCTACCATGTCCTTCTGTCTATTTGTACATATTACACCTGTAAGGAAAAACAGAACCTCATGTAAAATAATAATATATTACTATAAAAAATGGAATATTTTGATACATAAAGTTGAATTTTATGTCCATTAAGTAAATAGAAATTAATGATTGTTATATGTTATATTAGTGTCATACTTTAATTTTGCATAAAGTATAAAAACATAAAATGCACTTACCTTATTAATATTACTTCTTAAAGATAATAAAATTGTGTGAACAAATATTTTATATTTTACATCTCCTAATC